AAAACATAATGTATAAAACAAAACAAAGTTGTGTTTGTTTTTTCACTGCCTTTATTTCCCCTGGTGACTAAAGAATAAAAACTATAAAAATTAGGGTTAATACCATTGTGTAAGCTACATTAATCAATCATTGTAATCATATTTGAAATCCTTGTTATTTTTGCCTCCCATTAATTTGAGATATGTTTTTAAATGATGATTTTTAAATAATTGTCACTTTAATCCATCTTGATTTCTTATTTAAAATGGAAATGTGGAATACTGTAGCTCTCCATTTCTTTTCATTACAAAACAGACAGGCGCTGTTTTTAGTCTGATCTTAGTGTTCTAATCTCCCTCTCTCTAGTGCTCTGAGTGTCTATGACACCCATGATGTCTGCAGAGGGGACGTGAGGTCATTGGCTCTCTAGATGAACAGTGACCTCTGCTCTGCCACTGGCCAGTATCTTAGTCAGTCAATCTTCTCCGAGTTGTGATGTGACCTTGGGCTTCTGATGCATATTACAGCTCGGGGTACTTCCCCCTTGGCTCTCATCATCTGAGAATGAGTCACTGTTCTGGCTCCAGTTGGAGTAGGGGTCAGGCAGTGTGACCCATGAGATTAATTGCCCCAAGAGAGCTGGGAGTCTACAAAAGGAGACCAGTGACTACACTGTCATGAAATAATTGCTCAATCATGCACGATTGTTACCTGCAAGGATACCACAGTGTTTGTAAAAAAATAATAATACAAGTGCTAGCCAGTGTAATGGTTCTTGAATTAGTGTTGCAATAATGACAGTCAACGAGGCTTAAATTTTACCCTTACACAAAATGACATCTGGCCAATTACATCTCTCAGCTTGTGTTCAGTCCTGGACTATTGGTGGTTATAGTGTGTCTCAACCAAGTGGTGGTTTTGTAGAGCTCTGTGTAACCTCAGATTGATTTGTGTGCCATTTATTTCACTGATTGTGGAGAAATTACCAGGATTACCTGGCTTTTCTTCTGGTATTAATTTTCACTCTTTTACCTCCCACATTGATCTTCTCTTTGCATTTAAAGCCATTAATTTACTACTTGACATAGCAAGAATACATGCAGGAGAACAGTGTTTTCAGACATTTAGTTTCTAAATTGGCAGGCTAGTTGTTAGTGGGGATGCAGTTTAGTCGGCGAGCATCTGGTTACAGGATTGTTTCACTAACATTTAGAAGAAGTTGAAAAAAGCATCCTCAAAGATATAGTTCGTCTTTGTTCTGAAAGTACTTCATTGCCTCAACAGAGCCCCGTGGGAAAACCAGATTCTTAATGAAATGCAATTTAGATTTATTTAAGCCTTATTTTCTCACTTGGTTTATTGATTTATCTGTCTACTGCACATGGATAGTTTATTTCATTTTTGTAGTGCACCATCTCAGGACAGAAATCACACAGTTAATAAAAATTGTTTTGAAATGTCACACCTAGCCAAGTCCTAAGTGTGGCTGCAAAATACACTACCAAATATGTCCTTCCCAACAAGTGTGAAAAAGATAAGATATTGGCAGGATTTTATACTTGTAAATTTTTGTTCCAAAATGTGATGGCCACAACTGCAAAAAGGCAAATGGCTGCAGCATAATACTTAGTTTTGACTTCTTTTAGTTATATCAATATTGTGTTATACATGTATCTCAGTTGTGAATGGGAAATTAAGTGTTGACTTTTCAAGTCCGAGGACTCACATGCTCTGTTTTTCTATTCTTTTCACAGAGGACCTACTCCCACCAGGCTTCCCTAACATTGACATGGGCCCTCAACTAAAAGTGGTGGAGCGCACTCGAACAGCCACCATGCTTTGTGCCGCCAGTGGCAACCCTGACCCAGAAATCACCTGGTACAAAGATTTCCTGCCCATTGACCCCAGTGCAAGTAATGGGCGAATCAAACAGCTGCGATCAGGTAAGGAAAGCCCAAACATTACCCCCTCTTACTAACTTTGTTTGATTTCCAAGGACATTTTTGGTAATAGCTAACAGTTGTTTTTGTACTTCCTAGCCTATATGGATGCTGTGGGTGCAAATTGTTAAATAATTTGATAAAGAACACTTTTTTGACCTTTTCAGCAGATTCATATCACCAGCCTGGGAGCTCATATAATTGTTTGGCAATGAAAACATCAGTAAACTGTATCAAATGGCAAATTTGTCCTAATGTCAGCCTTTTAGGTAGTAAAAACAACACTTTGCTTGCTTGGTAGTAAACTATCACAAATGTGTGTTGACCTAATTAAATGTGGGTGTTTGCAAATTTTAAGGCTTTTAAATATCAAATAATGAGTGGAAGCAACAGTAAACATTTCAGATTGCAACAGAAGAGAAAAACAGTATATAAATGCAAGCATTATAGCCCCTGTGCTGTGACCATGTCATTATAATCATAGATTATTTTCCAAATGATTTGTTGAAAATAGCACATTATAGTATGTTTCAGACTGTTACATTGAGAATGAGGTCAAATGATTCACAGCATTCCAGAAGTGTGTCATGGTAGACAATGAGTGCAAGGTCCACATTCTACTGACACAGCTCAGTGGTGGATATGTTGCCTTGTTCCCATTGATTAAACCACACTGAGAGGCCCAATAAAGCAAAGTCTAATTATATACCTAATTAAGTGCAGGTCTTGGAGTGGCCCGGGGCAATAAGGAGTAGATATTTTAGGTCGATGATTTGTTACCATTCAAAAAATCCAATGACTCCTATTTGATTTGTTGCTACAATCATAAATCAGGCTAGACACCACTAAATAGTCTATTGTCATTGAGTTCCTGCCCCAGTTGTGGCCCTCATGAGCTGTACACTCAAAAGAATCAATTTGTCATCTCACCATTTGTGCCTTACCACAGCTCTCTGACACTTTCAATTTTGATGTGTGTCTTTAACTTACCAATGCACTGCAGTTTTCAGGTAGACCTTTAACTTTTAAAAATTCAAACCTAAACCTACCGTCAAAATACATGACTCTTTGCTCTCTCTGGGAGGATGTTGCACACCTTACTGAGAACCATGTGTATCTTGGTTCCTAGAGGTCTGGGGATGTCCTCTAGGGATATCAGGTTGTCCCAGGGTGCTTTGATGAAGACTGTCAGCCAATGCTGTTGACTTTAACTTGAGGACAAAGAGCATCTGCGGGGAGCTCTTAGTAAGAGGGTTCTAGTGTTAATGTTTTTACCTTCCTGCTAATCTTCTTGCACAGGCAGCCTTCTGCTAAACATTTTTGGCCTCAAACCTTAAAGGTTATATTACAGTGTTACTCTAGAACTACTCTAGTTACCTGTTCTGGCCTTATGAGTTTTGTGGATGGTGGACAAGGAATTTCAGCTTTCTGCCTGTTGTCTGACCTCTATATCATCTGTCTTTATCGGTTTCATTATTTCTTCAGTTGTCTTTGTGTGTCCTGTCTAACTGAAATAGATGGCTGTTCTATTGTGTCTTTTTCTCTTTGTGTTTTGCCTGTATTTGTGTGTGAAACTCAGATGTGTGTCAGTGCACATCGTAGAGTGTTCAACACATTTCATTTGGCTGTGACTCATTATACAAATTAAAATAGAAAAAAATCAAATGAACCAATCACTAAAATATAACTTAAGAATAAGACTAAATCTGTGAAATTTTACAATTGACATTGAAATATCTTCTTACAATTTTGACAAAAAGCCTCTAATTAGAAATTGTAATTGTAAACAAGCATAAAGTTAGAACGGAGACTTCCATGATATCTCATGGTAGTGATAACTGCTAAAAAGACCCAACTAAACCATTGTTCCTTTAATTCTTGGATAGTAGTCAGTTTAAACCTCAACCTAAAATAAACTTTGTTATTCTTCCCCCTTTTCCCATTTACTTTCTTTTTGCTTTGTAATTTTCAGAAACCTTTGGTAAGTGCCTTGCAAGCCCAACAGGCCCACCCACTGTCTTTAAAGCAGGTGGCATATTTAAACTACTTTCCAAAATGCATGCATCCCATGCTCTCCCTTTACCCTTGTCCTCTTTTGCCACTTGTTATTTATGTTCTTTTTGCATAAATGCTCAACTTTTATTTTTTGTTTCTTTCACCCTCCACCACTGGAACTTACAATACAAAGGCAAATAAAGGACAAGCAGCAGCATAAGTTGCACAGGTGGTCAGGCATCACACTCTGCTTTTAAGCACCACAGTTTTTATTTATATGGGAAAGACTTCCTGAGCAAGCCTTTTGAGCCAATATTCTTCTTCACATTAATGCTAAAATGCATAGTAAGACTTTGGAACTGCTCAGTTCAGCTGCCTTTTCTGCAGTATTTTAGCAAGTTTACTGGACTGTTTCAGGTCTTAAGTACCTTCTGTAAGGCTACTTTGGAAGTAGCTGTTGCTTATTTATTTTTCCCTGACCATATTACAATGCTAATGCCCCCTGTCATGTCTACTTCTTTTTCTCTGCTGTTGTGAGACAGCAGGGTTTGAGAAAATAATTGGACTGTGTTCAAATTCCAAAACAATTATTCCTGTGCTGTCGTGCCCTGGAGTGTTTTAGGCTTCATGGTAAGCTACACAGAAAACACTTTGCTCCAGCAGTACACATGAGTGGCTGTTTTTTTGTTTGCTTGTTTTCATACTTGATGTAAACAGTTGAACCACAGTTTTTACAATAACAGTTTCACTATCCAAAAAAATACCCTTGGAAGGTGCAGCAAGTACTGATAAGGGCTGAAAGAATCTTGAGTTCTTACCAGGAAATTGCCAGGGCACAACTACTGTATGGCTGAACATTCCAGTGCCACACTTGGACTGGGTCGACCCTCCGGTCTTGGCCAAATATTTTCTCAGGAGAGTAATTTTATTCTCTCTCCAAATTGGCCCACATCCCCACCAGCTTACAAATCTCTAGCTTAAGCTACAGGCTGAGTGCTCAAGTGGCCATATTTTGTACTCCTCCTGACTGTTTGAACTGCTTGCAAAATTATACCCAGCCACTAAGCTGGGTTTGTTGTATTTACAGTTCAAACTATATGTGTAAGTAGGAGGCAGAAAAAGAAATTACTTTCCATTTTTCCTACACCAAGGCTCTCGTAAGGTAATGCTACTGTAGCTTTGGGGCTTGCATTTTTTCTTTTGCCTTTTTGCTGGAAAGCTCATTCAGCAGTCAGGCAGAATTTATGCTGATGAGAAAAAGCCCTGCGCTTTCAAGCCCCCTAGGCTGCTGTCTTTGCATGTCCTCATCACTTGCGTCTCCAGGTTTTAGTATTTGTTCAGTTATTTATTTATTTTTCTTATTCTTTCAGTGATAAATGCACTTCCAAAAATCCCAAAACAAAGGCAGAAGTTCTTGCAGCAGCCTTTGAATAAGTAGCTTTTCAGTTTCTGCTGTTGACTACTTATTTGCTCTTTTGCTTCAGGCACGCTCTCGTGCCTCAGGGGGTAACTTCTGAGACTGATGGGTCCTCTCCCACATATGTTAAACTAGAGACTTCTGGGAAGAGTTTGGGGGGGCATTTGGAAGTGGTTTGGCAAACATGAGTTGAAAGTTCAAAGCTCTTGTTTGGATGAGTGGTTCCTCATGTGCCAGACCATACTGTTGGCTGGGCAATGATATTTGGATCAAGGGATCCCCCAGGGAGCAACTGTAGAGGTGAGGAGGGAGCCTGACATTTCTCCCCAAGTCCCAGTGGCTACATACCTCAGAACAGCCAGAACATAGGCCAGAGAGATGGTGAGAGGAAGGAAGGAGTGCATAGTCATAAGATCAAGATCAAAGATTTTTATTGTCAGTTCACTATATGTGCAGGACATCCAGAAAAGCGAAATACCGTTTCTCTCTCACCTAGCATTGAATGCCATACCATTTAGGAAACTAAAAATAGAATAAAAGTAGAGTAAAAATAGACTAAAAAGAATCAGAAAACTAAGTCAAAGTGATTAGGATAAAGCTAAATGGTACAACCTAACAGGCTATGACTCAAACCATATACAATCAGTGACAGTAGTGCAAATAATAGATGGTCAGATGGCTGTGAGATTGAGACGCACATGGACAGTAGTGCAAATGACCAGCAGCAGCAGATATGACAGTAAAAACAGTCAGCAGTGGATTTGCATGTAATATAACAAGAAGGAGGAATCTACTGGGTTTTTGCAAACAGCAGAGGTAGTCTTTTTATGTTCTATGGTGGGTCACAGTCCAGAGGCAGGGGGCAGGGGGCGGAGGTAATGGACAGCGTTCAGCATCCTCACAGCCTGGTGGATGAAGCGGTTTGTAAGTCTGGTGGAATGGGCCTGAAGACTCCGATACCTTCTCCCTGAAGACAGGAGTCTGAAATCGGAGTGTGAGGGGTGGGAGGTGTCATCAGCAATGCTGATGGTGCTGCGGATGTTAAAAATGTTCATGAGGGAAGGCAGAGGGGCGCCAGTGATCTTGCTGGCTGTAAAAATTAAGGTCCTTTTAAATATAAAGGTTTAAAACCATATCGGACACTGGAAGCCTCCCTTCCACATTCAGATTTATGCACGCTCTAATCTGAATAATGCCAAGTTCAGTTTCATTTAATCAGCAACTTAAGTACAAGAAAATGTTCGTTTGTTGGCATCAAAGCTGCTCTGTCATAGAGGTTCTTCCTCTGCAGATGTGACAACAACAGCCACATTTTCACTGAGACCTGATGTGACACCACAGGGATCCTAGACAGGTGTCTGGTGATCAGAAGGTCAGCAAGACACCCTCTGGAGGGTAGTCAGACTTTGATACTCAGCCATTCAAGCAACCCAGTCTGCTTCGTATGCAGATGGGCAGCATCTCTGGCCAGATTGCCTCTGGTCAGACTACATCCTTCAATAATATTTTTAATATATTCACAGAGTTGTTTAACAAAACAGCTTTATTATTAAAAATTTGAAGTTCCAGTGACCTAGATCCCCCTGATTTCTTTCTCATTATTTAATATTTTACTATTGAAGTGAACTACCTCTACTGTATATACTATCCCTCATCCTCTTTATTACTCCTCTTTTTTGTCTCTCTTTTGTAACTTAATCCTTTACAAGGTCCTAGGATGGCCTTCCCCTTTACAAACCTGCTTTATTAACCTTAACCTTACCCTAACCTTAACCTAACATCACCTAACCGTTAACTAGTAACCTGTCAACTCCTAACTAAAATTCATCTCAGGTGTAATAAACCCACCTTCCTGCAGCATCTAATCAACTCTAACTCTAAAACAGCCTAACCTTCCCAGAGCCCTATTGTCCCTTGTCTTGTGATTACCCATGATCATGTGGTCTCCAAAATCATTGCAGAAATGATTTAAATGTTTCTGTTGTTTTGCCTGGTTTTTCAATGACTCTAAACTATTAATATGGTAAATCTATGCATATAGTGCACTGTTCATGGACACTGCATGACAATTTTTTGTTTCTAAGTAAGAAAGAGTCAAGAATAAACTACCTTTTTAGATTTGTTTTTCTTTGAGATGTCTCATAGAAAAGATGTTCCACTTGAACAACACAATGACATTTGACATTTGTAGCAATACATTTAATACAGTATGGTTAGTGTCAACAAATGTGCACTTTAAGCATATAAACATATACTGTACATACTGATATACTGTACTTAATTATACTAAAGCAAAGTGCAACACAGTGCACAGCAACTCTAAAGAAAGGAAGGAAATCCACCTAGGTGCATTGCAAACCAGGCAGAACTTCAAGCTCAGTAATTGCCTCCTACCTGCTGGTATCACAAAGGACACCTCTGTATGCAGAGCTGCAGCAACAGTCTGACCAGAAGGTGCTGAAAATTTCATCCTCACTACCGAGCCACCCACACTCCATAATGTACTATATAGGATAACAAAATTGCTGGCACCACTGTACATCTAAAGTGCCAGGTTCTCTTTATTTTACTTTATTTTTTTAACTTGGAGAAGGATTGTTTTGTTGTTTCAGCTAGTCCATAGGCAGACTGGCATATGTTGCTGTATGCAACTTGGGTGAATGTATGCACACACACAGGCTGTAATGATAGGCTCAAAAGGCAGTGCATACAACTGAACCTCAGCACTGTGCCTGTAGGGCACCTCTCCTGGATTGGCACTGGCCTGCTGGCACTCACCAGGAATGGCCAAGGGCCATGTTTTGCCATGAGTCAACCACAGAGTGGGAGCTAACACCTTTTAGACAGAGATCCTAGTATATTCCGGGTTACACTGACCCCTTCATTATAACAGCTTTGCTTATTTACACAAATTCAGACAGTCTGATAGAATGCCACCTGTGTTCCTTTTCAACAGCTGCTGGCATCCTAATAGTAGAGGTGCGATGCTTTACACGACATCCAGTGTGACGTATAATGTGTCAGAAAAAAGAAACATACCGGTGTTGCTTTCAAAACAGTGGCAAGTGTAAATATACTTTTGTCAGGCTTTTTTCTTTTCTGTAATTCTGTTTGTTTTTTGTGCATTAACAAGCATCTTATTAATTCAAGGTACTACACATATAATAAACAATATAAAAAAGACCATCAAAGCTAAACTGGAATTTGACAATAAGCATAGATCATGTGCTTATCTTGTGAACGTGCTCTATAAAAGGTTGCCATATTAGATAGAATATGTTCATCCTCCCCTTCAGGAAAATTTGATCTTTTCTAGCTGTAGATGTCACATCACATTGCTTAACAGGGCTGAATGGGTTGGTGGGTTTTTCTGTTTGCCATGCATGTTGCTGCCACAATCCTGCCTTGAACAGAAAGTGTAAAAAGAGCTTAAGAGAAAGTCAAGCGAGAGCAACTTGTGGGAAAAATTGAAACATACAAAGAAAGAGACAAAGGGATGGTAGAACAGATAAAGCAGCAAAAAAGGGGTTAGGAGAAAATGGGTAGAAAACAATAACAAATGAAAAAAGCCAAGAGCAGAGAGACAATTTAATACTTGGTAGAGAGGGGGTTGAAGTTAAGCTGGCTTCCCTACCCACACCCAAAGCTTTGCCTGTAGGGGATGCATTTTATATCAAAGCACCAATGTAGACTTCTTTTAAAAAGCCCACCAGCCACTCACTGGATAAGCTCAATATTTTATTGTTCCTAATGGGACATTTGGCTTACAGTCAGGCATGTAACACAATACAGACTTACAATAAACAAAGAATAGAGAAACATACAATTCTCAGTGAAGTGAAACAACAGAAAGAGCCAGGAGAGTGAATGACCGGAGCTAAGGGGTGATGCTTGAAGTGAAGAGTCTATCTGTCACAGTTAAGCAGGTTTACAGCTTGTAGGATAAATAAGAACTTCAATCTGTTTGATTTAACTTGTAGTTGCCTGAAGGTTCGACCTGAAATTCTACTACAGTGGAGAGTCCATTCCTCTCTCAGCAAGTTTGTTCCATAATAATGTACAGTACAGTAGATAAACGGTGCACAATAGTGGCACCCCAAACCATTTTACTGGCCTCTTATTCAAGGTCATCTGGCTGGGAAAGGGCTTATGCCACTGGAGTGAAGCATGTCGACTTAAGGTCAAACCTTTCATGTTTTATCGCCACCATTATCAGCCAAGATGAATACATGCCAAGGCCTCAAGCTTCTTCATCTCTGCCAATGAAGCATTGTGTTTCCTTTCCTGATATGTCTAAAGGAAGTAGGGGGAGCAAAGAGAACAATAAAGCAATGGAATGTATGGGCCAGACAAAACTCCTCATTCTTTTGTGATACCAGCAACGAGAGGTATTATTCCTTTTTTTTTTTTGTTTTGATTTTTTCTATGAAAAAAAAATCCCAATCTCTATAAGAGATTACCTAATTGTTTGATAGTCTAGTTCCAGTGATCCACCTTCTAACCAAAATAACTCCTCTAACTACTAACATTAAACTTGAACTAAACTGATGTTGTGTCTTCATTTTTGTGTCTCCTCCAGAGGGTACCCCGATTCGAGGTAAGATGTTTTTGAAAAGGAATAAAAGACTTTAAGTGACACATAACCAGACATAATCGCTCCTAACTCCAAAATCCAACGGACTGAATATAGACAATATCAAGTGCGCTTTTCCTTTTAATGAATGACCTTTTTAATTTCCACTAACATTTATCATTCATCTGTGTTTTATGTTCTGTGCCCTCTGGGCATACTGTTTGTGAGCGTAATCATATTTGTCTCACACTCTTATGCCCCATATCATCATTAATGTGCTGTTCTTCCAGTTCTGTGAGCTTTCTGTTTGTGCTCTCTTACTATCTTCTCCACATCATCAGGAAACTGCTAAGCAATTCAGAGTTTTTTTTTTCCCCCCGGCTCATTATGAAACTGGATTTGAGCAGGTTGAAAGCAATGGGAGGGATGATGAGAGTTGTTATGAGGCAGTTTGTTTGCTTTGTGCCTTTGACATTTAAATGGTTTGGACATGGACATGAGGGAATGGTGATGGGAAGCTGGGGTTTGGAAAATGGTTCTGATATTTGCTGATAAGGCCAGGTGACTGAACATTGTAAAATGCTCAATACATTTTTAGCAGCCTCTTCCTTCTCCTCATCTGCCTAGGTATCCTCCTCATCTTTCCGTTCACCACTAGAGCAATAGCCACATTGTGTATGTTAATATACTACCCTCATTTTTAGGCTGCAAATACTTATGGTACTGTATAGAAGTGTAAAAGCTGGCATAAATGATATTTGATTTAATTCCCTCCCTCCCTTTTACTCTGTGGCAAAGCAACCTATAAAGGCCTATAAAAGCCTAGTGAGGCAGTTGAGTGTAATGGCCATCTTTTCCAAAGGGCAACATGTGCCAGACCAAAACCTGCTTTTATACTGTCAGAGGATGAACAGGAGGATGTCAAGGTAGGAAGGGAGTGACAGGGGTAAAACAGTGCGACTGTGATGAATTATACAACAGCTTTGTTCAGTCTTTCTTTCCCTTCATTTTTTTTTCCATTTCCCCAGACAATTTCACTTTCACCAGTCTTTCTTTCCCTTCATTTTTTTTTTCTATTTCCCCAGACAATTTTACTTTCAGTTGTAATTTTCCACTGAGCTTTGTTGCTGAACCATCCTTTTTCAATTGATTCAGTATGATTTGGTGTTTGTGTTGTGAAATGCTTCTGTTCTGCAGGCTGTGCAGGTAAGTGAATGATCCATATTCAAGACGATGGAATAAATGCCTTTGGTTTCAGGATTGCAGTTTGGTACTGCAAAGGAGGTGACAATTTCCCAATAGAGCTCTTACAGTAAGGTTAAGATCTTCCATCCTCAACATTTTTATCCTGTACAACCTGTGATACCAATCTTCAATCATTAGCACATGTCAAACACATTTATAAACATCTATGTTTTTAGACCAAGTTCAAAGCCTTCACTCTTTAAAAAGCCCTCTGTCACAACCAGTTTTGCGAAACCCAGCCCTCTTGGCATCTCCTTTGTTTGAATAAGAAGGTCTCATAAATCATACTGTGGTGAACAAAACCAACCATGACTTATGAACTCTGCATTTGCATAATGAGATAAGCGACCTGAAAAAGGCAGTTCCTCTCCACCACATTACTGCAATCTGACACTGACTTACCATCAACAGAGTACGGCACTTATGTAGAGAGAAAGCCAATTGCATAGGAGCTGTGGAGAGATGCAGATATAATTGAGATCAAGGTGTCTGAGGACACAAATAGTTTGTTTGCTTAGGTGTATGTTAACACTAATGTAAACTTTCATCTACTGTAACCTGACTCTTCCACTCACAAAAGTTTTTTTGAAGCTTTGGGTGAGACATTATTGTGCAAGTGCTGAGTCATTTTATGTCATTTAGCTGCGATTCTGAAATTGTAAAATTTTATTTTGCTTGCACACAGAGCCACATAGGTGCTGGCCTAGAGGTAAGCAATAGGTATAAAGTTGGCTCGACTCCCTAGCTGCCTCATTACTGATTTTATGGGAGCGTTACAAGCTACCAGATGGGCTCTGACCACATGGGGTATCACACGTGGGGCCCCATGCTGGTGCGATCACAGTATAATGACCTTGGAGTGGTGGCAGAGCATGCCCGAGTGACAGCCAGGACACAGACAGAAGAAGAGAGACTGAGAGATAAGGGCAAGTCCAGACTGGCTATCTTCTCATTTGTGTGATTATAAGAACTGGGAAGAACTGAAATCTGCCACATGTTGTTGCCCTCTATAGTTGCAAAGTCGTATTTGAAATTGATGTTCAACAATACAACAACAACTGTAGAGTTTAACTGAGGACATAGTGTGAAATGTGATACTTCCATTGTGCTTGCTGTTTTAAACTTTATCTGTCGGCTTGGACAAATCTGGCCTGACAAAATATCTCAGTGGCAGAATGCATCTCTAATCTAATTGTGATATTTTATGTAGTTTTATGATAAAGAATAAATATTTTATTAGTAAAACCATTTTTTGTAACACCTGTTAAATCAACACAGGAAGTGTGAAGAAATATTAGATTTTCATAGGAATTGTATCCTGTACTCTTCTGTGCACTTCATTGAGTTTAGTTGTATCCACTTCTACTATAAGATGCTAACTTTGGCTTTTAATTTCAGTGTATTAGAGCTGTACCAAGCAGTGATGGGGAAGAGAGAGGAAATGACGGTAGAGGAGATCAGATGATGAGGGACTAATGAGAGACATGAACTGAGAATGAGAAATAAAATGATGAAATGAACAGTGTACACCCAGCGGGCCTGAGTGGGCTGTGGAAGGAGGAAGAGGGAGGTAAAGAAAGAGTGGGACTTGGCCATCTATTTTGTTTATCACCTAAAGAAATCAATCAAGGCCTGCTGGAGCACACTAACTGAATTACACAAATGGGACTTGGGGGTACACGTGGCAAAGCTGCTACAAAGCAGCAACAGGGGTGGGCAGATCACAGCTTCAGGCACTTTCCGAAATGAATCACCATGCCGGCCCATCCTCGCTTTTCTTTTATCCCCTCATCTGTCCTTCTATCTTTCTGTGCTTGTCGATCTCTTCAGCTCATCCCAGCCCCCTGTGATTGTTTTGCTCTTGCTCTTTCTGCCCCTCATAGGCCACACCTCTTTGCCCTCTTCTCATCCAAACAAATTAAAATATAAATTTAGTCTATATATATGCGCTGCTGTTATTGATGTTTTACTAAAAAGGAGATTTGATCTGTTGTGTCATTTCCTGCCAATCTACAGCTACAAAATTTCCTTGAAAACATTCAAGGAAATTTTTGTTTAAATCTAGCAAAACATCTCTGAGTTTGCTTTTCATGTGAGCAGATAAGCGAGTTGCCCTGCCTTCTATACAAATCTAAATTCTTGCAAATTTTTGGCAAGAAATGTTGAAATTGTAATATGTCTAAGGCTAATGATGCAAAGCACCCTCTCAACAACTTTGGTACAAGAATCTAGATTTAACTAGACCTCAAAAATGTGCAATAAGCATTCTATACTTTACCACACCTCAGCACCTCAGTGCCCCTCATCAGATTAGCCTGCATAATGCAGCGCTATTAACTAGGGCAGCTGTCACAGCTGGGGCAAATGTCCAAGACTTACTGCCCATTACAGCCTTCTTTATCAAATGGAAGTGAGCATGTAGGTAGCAGTGGAGAGTGGAGGTTATGAGCGTTGATGAGCAGGAAGGGTCACTTTCTCTGAGGTAGAGGCTAATTGGTCCACATGGAAATCAGATTATTATGGGGGACTTTTTTGCCTGATCTGTGACTGCTGATTTTTTTTCTTTGGAATTTTAAAGTTGCAGCACAGATATTGGAATAAGACAGAATGAAAAAACTGTTCCAGTCTTTTGACCCAAAAAAACACGAATTATTACTCAAGCAGGAGCAATACATCCTGCAGTTTACTGATGTTCATGGTATCCTGCATGTTGATTGAGAGACTGTCCTGTCCCAGGACATTCTCAGGTCACAACGGCTCACATAGTGTCTTTCAGCATTCATGTGTTCTTATTAACTGTCCTTGAGCAAGATCAAGTGGCAAGTAAATCAGGCCACTCTGAAATATAGCTTAAGGTAAATACTCGCAATGCAGTGTAGTACATTGAAAAGTACATTGTTTCATATAATATTTCAGCTATTACAAGTCATATGAAAGAATATTTTAAACAGTGATTAGGTTTGTGTACTTGGTGCCATTAGAACTGCTGTGCCTGCAGAGGTCATATTTGTATAAGCAGTAAAGTACTTTTTTTCTGACAACACAGTCAAACTGTGCTGGTATTTAATAAAGTGATACTAGCTGTGCTTAGTATTCATAGCACCAGCTCTTTGCAAGTAAAGCAGTCAAATACTAATGAAATCAAGCAAAACAGACTGGTTCATGGTAGTTATTGTTATATGTGTGATTGCACTTTATAGCTGCAGACAGGAATGACATTGGAGCCCATACTGAAGTGCCTTCACAATGCAGCTTTTTTTGTGAGCGTTAGTAGGCAGGCCTATATATGAACAGGTTCCCTTTTTTGTGCTTGTGACAGATAATTTTAAGCATTTATTTTACTATGTGTGCTTCTTCTCTTTCCAGTAAGAGAAAAAAAAAAGGCCACTTTCACCCTGGTGAGCCACAGACAGGCTGGGTAGACAGAGCACACTTATGCAAATGCAGAGTGCAGTCATTTTAAAGAAGGACGAAAGAAAACGGTAGAGAAGTGTTGCAAGCTAGTGACAAGGGGTTTTCAAAAGCTGGAACAGTTGTCTCCTAGAGACAGGAAATCAAGGAGATTTCTATTTGGATTTGTATGTTAAAAGCTCATAGATGTCCGATGTCTTCC